CATCCCACACAGAGCTTTATTTGGGCTTCTCTTGAATGCTCCCAATGACAGGAGGCTCACTATTCAGATAGACAAACTATTTTCAAAGTGTTTTGTTGTTTTCATCTGAGCTGGGAATCTACCTTCCTTGAAGCTTCAGTTTGCTTCCTGGTATTCATATAAAATTGATACCCTCCTTTTCCCCAGACGGTCCTTAAATATTCGAAGGCAGTTGTCATGCATCAGAAATGTCTTCACAGCATTCTCCTCTGCCAGCTGATCACCCCCAGGATATGCAACCATTATTTACATGACAAATGTCATCAACTCTAATTAGAAATATAAACGACTGTCTCTAATTGGCTTCTAAATCAATGGCTATATAAACTCATACCTGAGCACAGCTGAAAACCACCTGCACGGGTCTCATTATTTTACACAGGTGCAAACCGAGGTCCACTGAGGAAAACTGCCTGACCCAACGTGAGAGAGAGAGGAGGAGACTGAGAGAGAGAGAGAGGTGGAGTTGAGACCTGAAACCTAGCTGCACAAATCCCAGCGCAGGGTTCTTTTTGCCTCACCCTGCCTCCTATTATTCATAAGACACCAGTATTTCTCAAGCCCTTGGGAAGTTTGTTCTCTTAGGTATTTCAAAAATGCCTCCTTCATAGTATATTTGCACTGTCAGAGAAGGAGGGTAGCACAGGGCTGAAATTAGTGGACGTTACGCTGTCAGTGAAAGGTCTCATTCCAAGTCCCATTCACCTTCCTCGCTCTCTGCTATCAGAAGATCATCGCCCCCCCACCCCCGTCCCCGAGGATGCTGGTTCCCGATGAGCAGCGCCCCTACAGGGGCCCCCCTAGGCCTGCGACACTTTCCACGAGGCCCAGCTGCCCACGGAATTTCGAACTTCCCAACATCGGAACCGAAAATGGATCCGCCAGGGCGCGAGGCAGGCTGTGTTTCTGCTCTACCCTGTGCTCGTTTTAAAGTTGCAGATTGTTTTTTTCAGTTTGGCCGGATTCTCCGATGAAAAGACAAAGCAAAGACTCAGAGAAACAAACTAGACACTTGGGTGATTGGCTTCCTGTCTCCGTCCCCAGCAGCCCTGCAGTCACATGCTTCGAAGGGCACATTCCTCCCTGCCCCAGCCCACAGCAAGCTCCCTCTTCTTTCGAGAGGTATTGCGTTTCTAGTTCTTATACTCACTTGGGCGTGGGTTGTGAGCTGCTCTGTGCCGCTTCCTGGTCTGCATGGGTTTGGACTCCCAGGGACCTGGGTTCCAGTCCTGACCCCACGGCTAGCCAGTTTGTGCGGCTTTGGGAAGTTACTTAATCTTTTCAAGCCTCAGTTGTCTCATTTAGTGGGAGAGGACAATTATGTTGCCTACATCATGGGACTGTCAGGATGACATAATGCCTGAAAAGGTGGCCAGCACTGTTCGTCTCATTCAGTAAGACACCATAAAATGGACCCGTTTAGTATTATTCATCTTATGCTACAGAAGGTAGAGACTGAAGCCTATACTCTTCTCACGCTGCACACAGTAGGTGCCCCATAAATACCCCCCGACTGATTCTAGCCTGGGCTTCTTTCGGGTCAGAAATATTCTTTTTTTTAAATTTTTTTTTTCTTTTAGTGTTTATTATTGAGAGAGAGAGAGAGAGAGAGTGCAAGCAAGGGGAGGGCAGAGACAGAGGGCGACACAGATTCGGAAGCAGGCTCCAAGCTCCGAGCTGTCAGCCCAGAGCCCACGCCGGCGGGGCCTGAACCCACGCAGTGAGCGTGAGATCAGGACAGGCAGTGGATGACCCGAGCTCATAGTCAAGTCGATGTCAACCACTGAGCCACCCAGGCGCCCCTGGCCAGAACTATTCTGAGCATCATGTAACAACAGTTCCTATGCTTCCAAGCTCCCTCTTCCCCAGGCTCCTTCCCCCAATAATGACCTCAGTGGGAAGGCCCACCCTGGCCTGCCACTTTGCACACCTGTCAGCTTGCATCTCAGGATAAGGTTCTCATCTGACAGACTCTGAGAACTTGCTGTCCAGGCAAAGAAAACTTCATGATCATGAATCCAACACAAACCTTATGTAACCAACCTGTCAGCAAGAGGGACAGAGGGGCACTGACAGACGCCTACCTCCCCACCAAAAAAAAAAACAAAAACAAAACAAAAGGAGACCGGAAGCAAGGGATTGAGGCATGCCAAAAATGCTCTTGCTTGTCAAGACCCTTAACACTGATCAAAGCTCTTGGATTTGAAGGATTCCTGAAGGAACGCAGAGATGGCTAAACCCCCTCGTACTGGAGTTTTCACGGAAATTGCATTAGATGCTTGTGTAACCCAAAGAATATATATACAACATTTTTTTTTTCTTTTTGGTTAACAACGTTTATTGTCCACGGGACTTACAACGATGACAGAAAAGTTTACAACATTTTTTTTTTTCTACCTGAAATCTCTACCTGGAGTGGCTTGAAATTCCCGGTGGCTTAAGGACTCTTGTATCTTCCCCCTAAATGCTGAGGGTGTCCTAGTGGACTCTTGCTGAGGAAAAGAACAATTCTTTCTCTTGTCCCTTCCACAGATTATTCGGTCATTGCCTGATTTTTGTGCTAAGGACCCAAAAGCAATAAGAACATCCACCGGAATGAATTGGTTAGGGGACAGCCCCAGGGTGAAGCTTCCACAACAGAGGGTGAACGCAGAAGTCAATGACAATGCGGTGGAGAGAGCACATCAGCTCCCGGAATAACAGGTGACAGCCAGGCTCCCCGGCCATAGCCCCATCTCTGACATCCTTGGCTTCTTACCTTGGACAGGCCATTCCCCCTCCCAGGTTTTCATCTCTTTGGATGCCAAATGCTTTCTGTGGACTCTTTCAAGTCCAAGATGCTGTGAGGCTACCGGAAGGGTGAAGATATGCTGGAGAAGCTGCCTGCCCCTCTGGGTGTGGGCCCCCGAGCAGGAGGAGAATGTGACAACCGGCATGAAAGCCCTTGGAGAAGCGAAAGTGCCGAAGGGCACACACTCTCCAACTGGCTGTGGCACGTTCCAAAACCTTGGGCACCTAACTTTCTCCCGAGAGCTGAGTGTGCACCTGGACACCCAGCACTGAGCTGACAGGAGGCAGAGGAAGCCAATGCTTTTCTGGTTGAGGATCTTGGCTGGGACAGAAGGGAAGACAGAAGTGGAGTCAGCTTGGTGAACGGGTGAAATGGCAATGAACATGGAGGCTGATCCTCCCCAGGCTGGCGTTGCCAGGGAGGACGGTCCTCTCCGTCAAACCTGGGCCAAGCTCTGGCTCAGACACACGGTGCAAAAATAGAAAGGGGGTGGGAGAAGAAATGTGTTTACTTTTGTGATTTTCCCTCATGTGCCTCTTAAGGGTATTAGAATCTCTTCACGAAAAGGTCGTCTTAGACTCCCCGGCCTCACCTCCATTGATAAACCTGACCAAACAAACAATGCACAAATCCAGCCATTGGCAGGGCAGCTGGAAGGCCAGTTTGGAAGGCAGGGGGGGTGGAGGGGAGAGTGATGGTCTGGGGTCTGTCACTAACTGGGCGAATCATGGAAAATCCCTCTTGGATGCTTTGCAAAATCAAGCGATTGCATTAGACAGACTCTAAAAATCTGTTTAGATTTGTGAAGCTTATATCTGCGGATCTCAACCAGGGGTGGTCTCACCCCTCAAGGAGTATTTGGCAGGGTCTGGAGACCTTTTCGGTAGTCACAATTCAGAGGGTGCTCCTGGCATCTACTGGGTAGAGGCCGGGGATGCTGTTGAACGGCTGACGATGCATTGGACGGCCCCCACCACAGAGAACTACCTGGCCCAGAATGTTAATAGTGCCGAGGCTGAGACATCTCGCTTTATACTGAAGTCAGGAGGGTCAAAGAGGGGGACGGGCAGGAAGAGACAGAAGTAAAGAAAGAGAAGGGGTTAAAATCCTGTTTCCCGAGTCATGAGGTATTCATCGGTTAAGTGTTTTCCAGTTTTCTCCCTATGACCAATACCCTCTCAGTTTTCTTTGGAATTACAGGGCTGTGCTTGAGTAGCTTTTTCCTAAGAACTCCCTCCTTTATCTTTAAAATGCCAAACCCCGATGCAGTACAAACACCTCCCCTATGAGATGCAGCGAATACATAACATAAGCAGCTACTGGAACTGGAAGGTGGGTGGTGAGGGTGCACGGAGGGACGAAACAGATGTCCGTAACTCGGTTTCTATGAGTCAGTATTTCTGATGTAACAACACCGAATGATCACCATAGGACCGGCGAGACAAGCTATGCTGTCAGCAGGGAGAACTGCTTTGCCGAGCTGGCACTGGGAGGGCTACAGGTTTGCAGCGGCAGATTCAAAGGCAAAAGAAAGGGTTAAGCAATCAGTGCATGCCATTCTCGTATCATTCCATATTAAGTCCCTGGGCAGTTATTACAAATAGTTACCTGCGGTTTCCAGCGGGGGAGGCGACCACACTCCAGTCAAGGGTTTTTGGAGAAACAGGTGCAATGAAGTCATGGTCAAACAATTTATTTACTGTAAACTTTAGACTTTGCTCAGGAAAACAACTGAAGCCTGCCCCTCCAATCTCTGCCTACAACACCCTGTTTGAGCAAATAAGAGGAGTGGGGAGAGTCCACGTTCACAGCTGAAAGGTCCGAAATACTCAAGATCCTCCAGTGCAAGGGTGCAGGAAGGAAGGACTCCTTCGGATACAAATTACCAGCAGCAATATATATTACCCCTAATACTTGACCAATGAGGTAGATCCACAGAAAAGTCATCAAAACAGAGCAGCCCCAGGTCCTCTGGGACCGAAGCCCTTCAGACACAAACTTAACACGTTCCATGCAAAAAGGAACTGAACTGGACAAGAAACAATCACTCGAATGTGTTTTCTCTTTGTTACAGCTTAAAAAAATAATAATAATAATAAAAAAAAAAAGGCAGAAGGCTGTCCTTCCTCCTGCACATCTCTATACAATTTTATTCTAAGTTTATTACACTCAAGTTAAATAGTCTGTTTAGTGTTTGGCTGGGGGGGGGGGGTCATAAAAAGTAGAAAAACCCGCCTTACAACAGTGAGTCGTTTGTGCTACTGTTCTGCCCTTGTGAATCAATGCTATCGTTAGGCACAGTACCTTGACGGTTTGCAAGGTTTTCCGTGCCTGGGGGGTCCTCACACAGCACTTCGCTGTCTTTCTCCTGCCCCAGGGGACCTCCGCTGTGTTCCCCAGCATAGTCTGTTCTGCTGTTACTGTTGTTGGAGTAGCCATTCCCATAGGCCTTCAGAGACGACCTGCGCAGGCACAGAAGCTCCTGGAAGGCAATCCTGAAGTCTGGGCTCCGGCAATAGATAAGGGGATTGAAAGCAGAGTTGACGTAGCCCACCCAGTTTAGGAGGATGTAAACTTCCTTAGGGATGAGGTTATCCTGGATCACGTGCACTATGTTGACGATGAAGAAGGGTAGCCAGCACAGGGTGAATGTGCCCATGATGATGCCCAAAGTCTTCAAGGCCTTGTGCTCCTTCAAGCAGAACTTGGAGGCCCTGCGATGTCCATGCCCGCTCCGCCCATCCTGCTCCACTTGGCTGAGATTTTGGGCGTGGAAGCGCCCCTCAGATTTGTCGATCTTGTGGAGCTGCCTTTGGGCCACCTGAAAGACCCTGGAGTAGACGAAGACCATGACCACCAGGGGTAGGTAGAAGGACACAATGGAGGAGGCGATGGCATAAGCTTGGTTCGTGAAGAAGTCACAGCAGGTCTCCTTGGCATAGCAGTTGATGGCTTCCTGGTGGGTGGCCCGGTACCAGTGCATCTGGATGGGCAAGAAGGAGGTAAGCCCCGACACGATCCACACCATCAAAATGACCACCCGGGCCTTATTCTTGGTCAGCAGGCTCTGGTACTTGAAGGGCGACGTGATAGCAAAGTAGCGATCCACGGCGATCACGCACAGGGTCTCAATGCTGGCCGTGACACACAGCACGTCAATGGAAGTCCAAAACTCACACCAGAAGTTGCCAAAGGTCCACATTTTCATGAGGATGTGGCTGGCCCCAAAGGGCACCACCGCCAGGCCCATGACCAGGTCAGCACAGGCCAGGGAGGTGATGAAGTAGTTGGTGACCGTCTGCAGACGCTCGAATTTGGCGATGGCCGTGATGACCAGCACGTTTCCAAACACGATGGCCAGGACGATGAGCGACATGACGATGCCCATGCCCACCACCCACGCGTCGTTTCGTTCCTGCGTGCCGTCCTGGTCCGGCGCGTGGCTTCCGTTGGGCGCCAGCAAGAAGACGCTGCGGTTCCCGGGCTGCCCCATGACGCGCAGGCTGGCAGGTGAGCGCACTGGCTGCCGGCGCACCGGCCGCGCCTCAGCGGGCGGACCTCCGGCGCGGCGCTGCGGGCAGCGAGCGGACGCCGGGAAGCCTCATCCAGGGGCCGTGGGGTGGCTGTGCTGGGGGGCGCGTCCTGCACTCAGCCTGTAGGGTGCTCTGGGCTCCCCGGGCGCGTCGGACCCAGCCTGCGCTCTGGAGAAGCCGCCCCGGATTGCGCGCTGCCCGTTATGTGCACAGGACTTTAGGGGACTGCCCTCGCGGTGACGTGAGGCAACTTTCCGCCAATGGCGGGCGGGCAGCCCCAAAGGGGCGAGGCCCGGTCCCTTTCCCGCCCTCCCCTCCCCTCCCCTCACCCGTCCCCTCCCAGGGCTGGCCCGGGCGGGGCCCAGCTGCTCCCCTGCGGTGGGCGGGCCACCTCTCCCTGCCTGCTCCCTGGCTGCCCCCGGAGGCCTGCAGCTGGGGCTGGCGTGCTCACCATCCGATCCGGGAGCTTGGGGCTCTTTGGGGGCTGCTACCTGTCTGACCCGGGCCCCTGGGCGGCCTCTCCGCCACATTAGGCAACAGAGACGACAGTGCCCACCCCGACACGCACGGACAGGCACACATGCACCCCGATGGACATGCTCAGACTTATACGGAACCACAGCCACTGACACGGAGACACGCCCGTCCAGCGCACCCACAAGCACGCTCGCGCGCGCGCGCGCGCACACACAGAAAGCCACAGGCACACAGTCACCCCTGCCCAACAGAGACGGGGCCAAGAAACAAACACAGAAGCGCCCAGAAGCACAAAGGCATAGGGCACACACACAGAAAGAAGTAAACAACACACAACGCTCACTTGGCGGCAAGCAGAGCGCCACAGACTCGGACGTCCCCATCCAGGTACTCCTGACCCCTCCTTCGTGCACCCACTCCCCGAGACACACACGCACGCACGCACAGGGCACATTCCCTTTCAAACATTTGGCAGGACCACAGGAGGTGACTTGAACAGCTGCCCGATTTCCTCAGCACACTCACTGTCAAGTACTTTTGGTGCCCTCCTTGGGAATTTGCAGGCATTGGGACATATAATTTCACCCTTTGGGTTTCGTTTGGAGTCGGAGCTGGGGTATGCCAGTGTGCGTTTGCGGCCGGAAGGAGAAGGTTGTGCACTTAAATTTGTAATTCTTGGGAGCGTGGCATCACTCCCTCGTTATCTGTGGGGATGGAGAGGAGTTCAACATGGAATAGTTTTCCTTTCAACCTCATCTTCAGCAATTCCATGGCAACTAGAAAAATCCTTTCATCTGCTGGGCAGTTGATCTGTGGGGTTGAGCCATCTGAAATTGCCCACTATCTTGTGGTTTCTGACTTTAAAAGTGACAATTTCGTATAGATCCGACTATTCGAATGTGTTAGCGTTAAGAAAGTTATGAAACCACAGGAAACAAGATAATTTCTCCTTTAAATAAAAAAAAAAAAAGACTTAAGTCTTCAGACTGGGGTCTTTGTCCATGAAATATTATCCTTTGCATCTGGCATAGGACTTTACTGTTAAAAGGAAATTAATTTTCAGGGTTTGACTTCACATGTATTAGTAGTGTCTTTGAAAGACTGAAAGCATTTCATGCAGTGTAACCAAACATGCTTTGCAGATTACATAATAACATAACAATGGCTAACATTTAGGGAACATTCTGCTATGTGCTTTTCATGCATGATTCCATCTAATCCTTCCCACAGTCCCATGGTGGGGAGAGTACTATTTTTAGCTTAATTCACAAATGGGGCCCAAAGAAGCAAATAGCTTGCCCAGGAGCACAGGGCCCTGCGATGCCAGAGGCAGGAGGTGAATCGAGGTCTTGACTCTATAGCTCATCTTTTAATCCTTCCGATGCACTGTGGCCTCACAAGCAGAGACGCATGGAGGTTAGGCAAGAGGGACTGTAGCCAGAATTGGAATAGGCAGGTTCCAGATCCCCTGCTGTAGCGCTTTCTAGCTCACTTTCCTTAGGCATATCAAAAAGATGGACCCCAAGTGGGGAATCTTCCATCTCTAAGTGGGAAATAGAGTCACTTTCATTGGGCTGAGTGTGAGCCGAGTATGTAATAATAAATGTGAAAGGGCTTGTGCACCTGTATATGCCACACAAATAGGGGTTATAAATGAAATGTGCATAAATCATTTAGTAGTTTGAAATATGTTATTCGTGTCCTCTAATAGAACCATCAAATACTTTAGGACACATGTAATGTGGGTGTTGACTGTAGAAGTAAAAGTGCAGAAACAAAATATAACCTGCATGCCCCCTTTAACTTCCTTTACTAGCCATAAATTGTTTTTGCGAGACCGATGCCTTAAAAAGCAAATATTTCCCATAAAAGGCACAAATGTTAATTAAAGATCTATTACGTTCCCATAGTGTCCAAAATATACCCACCCCATATTTGTGTTTTCCAAAATTGGCTCTGGTATGATGCATTTTAGGAAGAGGCAGTGTCTGTTATGCAACACAGTTTCTTTAAATATACATCTAGCCCGAATTGTGGAACTAAGCCATTTAAAACCTCCTTCCTGTTTGTAAAGCTATGGAATAAATAAGCGTATTGTTTAACCTTCCCGTAACAACAACAACAACAACAACAACAACCAAAGAACAAAGAAAGCCCTTTCAGGGCAAACACGAATTGATCACGGAGATATACAAAAGTTATATACTTTTGTACATACTTAAAAAGTATGATATACTTAAAAGTTTAACTTTGAATATTTTGGGAAACCCCTTTTAAAAAGCCCACAAACACTAAATCAAGGAGGCAAGACTGTTCAGGTCAAGGAGGAGCTTCCAGCCTTTACGCATCGGCTTTCCCAAATGGACAGTCTCTCCCTCCCTCCCTCTCTGTCCCCATTACTTTCTCCCTCCCTGCCCCTCTCTCTCCCCACCCCCTCTCTTTTTCTCTCTGCCGCCTCATCAAGCCAGTAGGAATTTCAAGATGCTGTCTTCACCCCAAGAGTCTTCTCCTGACCTCCTTTTAGAATTACAGGTGTAGAGAGAGTTATATGGGGAAAGAGGGGAACAGAACATTTAGTTCATTTCCCCCCACCTCCTCCAGTTTATAAACGAAGAAGGTAAAGTGTAGAAATATGAACTGTCGAGGGGAAGGCGCCAGGGAAGCTACAGCATCCTTACATCTCTTCACTGCCCAATGCTGTCCCCTCATTTGTCAACAGAGGACTTTGATTGGCCCTGCTTGCTGGGCTGGTGAACTTAGACATGTAATGCTTCAGCTGGTCTTGGAAGTTCTTAGTAGACTAAATGCACCTTTATCTGATGGAAGAAAAAAGCAAGCTCTTTCATAGTGATTGATAGTGTCTAATTACATATTTTGTCAATCCCTTAAGACACCGATTTGTCATTTCCTGCTTGCCAAACAGAAAAAAAAAAAAAAAAAAAAAAAAAGAAAAGAAAACACCTTTTGTTTTACTGAACAAATATTTGAATAGGAGTAAGGTTTTGTGGTGCCTGGGAAGGTCCTGACACCATTAGCGGGACAGTTGAGGAAAATCTTATCCCGTTCTTGGCTTAGATGAGATTCCTTCCATCGTTATGATCCTCTGAGCAGAGAAACATCTGTAGATTTCTTTCAAAATAAGGATCTTAAATGTCTGTCTGTAATATTATCTCTGTATAGCATCACTCCATTCCATTTGCATTAAATGAGATTAAATGCATGTAAAGCATTTAGTGTGCTCCCTTGGAAAAGAGATGACTCCTACCGTTTGCTTATTTTTGAATCAAAATGTACATGTAGAATGCACACTTATTAGATCCTATGTGTGAAAGGACACGTTGAATGTGGATTATGAGTCATTTGTCTTTAATTTGAATTGCTGGGAAAACGAATGAAAGCAGGAACAAAAACTTGGTTCTTTGGAAAGAGAAATGACTCTGAAAATTACCATTGCCACTGAGTTATAGAACTGGGTGGACTGTTCGTGGTTTTTGAATGCAGTGTCCTACAGCCTGGTCAGCTTCTTATACGATGCATCCACCAGAACTCTCAGACGTCTCTCGTGAGGGCAAGCTCACCAGATCCTTCTGCCACTGTCTGTTTCGACTGTCCAGATAGTGACCTGAGATCCTGTACAGCTCCTGCCTGTGGATTTTAAGTCTGCCCCCTTGAGGCCACTCAAAACAAGTCTCCTGTCTCTTCCCCAAGACTGTCCTCAAAGCTTCTGGGGGAATCCCTTGGAATTCTGAGCCTTCTCTTCAGCTTAAATATCCCTTGTTCTCTCGGGTCTGGAGTCTCCTTTACCATCATGGCAGATCCCTTCTATTCTTACTTGGGACTGCTGATGTCTAAACTTAACATCAATACCTGGAATGATCCTGGAACAAGTCCTCAAATAATCAATTTGCAGTCACCTTGGCAACCGCAGAGTAAGCAGAGCAACCAGCAAAGCTTTCAGAACAGCTGATTAGACCAGATGAATTTAATTTCCTGCTATGCTGGCCTTTTATGAGATACATGCTAATAAATTCTCCGCCTCTTGGGGGGACTGAACAAAGGGAGCTGGCTTCAATTAAAGCAGGAGAGACTTCAGTTGGTCCTATGAAGGACTCCTTGGCCTGCAGACCATCAGTCATTCAAAGAAACTAGACTCTAGCAGCTTTTCTCAGTTGGGGCTTTGCAAGAGAATTGAACCCTACAGAAAATTGAGTGACTGTTCTTACCAATTCTCCCAAGAACGGTACATAGCTATTACCCTCCTAGAGATGTAAGAGAGAGGTTCAGTTGCTACATACCGTGTAAAGGATGCATCAGGGCATAGGCTTTAATTCTTTTGCTGAATCTGAGTGGTGTTGCATGCAGTCTCCCGCCGATGTGGGAATGAACATTGTGTGAGGACGAACGCTTCTATGTGGTACAAGCATTTGGGCGCAGAGGAGGGCACACGGATGGGGGACCGGGAGGCCCAGACTCTGGTCCCACA